TTTCAGTTTTTTGTTTTCGTTTTTTTTAAATATCTCGGTTTTTTTTAATGTCCTGATTTTATTTTTCTTTTTCATTGTGAAATTTTTCAATTTTTGGATTTGTCAATTTTTCGATTTATAATTTTTCGGTTTTCAATTTTGCGGTTCTTTAGCTTTATCATTTTTTGAATTTGTCGTTTTCTCATTTGCAGATTTTCAGTTTTCCGATTTTTCAATTTTTTGTTTCTTCAATTTTCGATTTGCAATTTTTCAGCTTTCAATTCTTCGATTTTTCAACTTTTAAATTTTCCAATTTTTCGTTTTTTCATTTCAGATTTTCAATTTTCCGATTTATTCAATTTTTCGTTTGTTCAATTTTTGATTTGCAACTTTTCGAGTTTTCAGTTTTCGAATCTTTCAATTTTTGAATTTTCCAACTTTCGGATGTTTGAGTTTTTAATTTTTCAATGTTTCGGCCTACAATTTTTCGTTTCGGTTGTTTATTGTCTTTCTTTTAAAAGTTTTTGATTTTTCTTTTTTCATTGTGAAATTTTTCAATTTTTGGATTTGTCACTTTTTCGATTTACAATTTTTCAGTTTTCACTTTTTCGGTTTTTCAGCATTTGGATTTTTTAATTTTTCTTTTTTTCAGTGTTAGATTTTCAGTTTTTTGATTTTTCGTTTCTTCCATTTTTGATTTGCAACTTGTGGATGTATTTTTAGATTTTGCAACTTTTCGATTTTCCACTTAATTTTTCATGTTTCAATTTTTCGGTTTGCAGTGTTTCGTTTCGATTTTATATTTTCTTTATTTTTAAAATTTTTCGGGTTTTCGATGTGATTTTTTGATTCTTCTTTTTTCATTGTGACATTTTTCAATTTTTGGATTTGTTAGTTTTTCGAGTTTTCAACTTTTAAATTTTGTAATTTTTCGTCGTTTCAGTTTCAGATTTTCAGTTTTTCGATTTTTCAATTTTTGATTTGCAACTTTTTGAGTTTGCAGTTTTTAATGTTTCGATTTTTCGATTTTTCAATTTCATAATTTTTCATTCTTCAATTTTTCAGTCTGCAATTTTTCGTATTGGTTTATATTTTCCTTATTATTAAAGTTTTTCGGTTATTTAATGTCCTAATTTTACGTTTTTTTTCATTGTGATATTTTTTAATTTTCGGATTTGTCAATTTTTGGATTTGCAATTTTTTTGGTTTTCAATTTTTCGATTTTTCAACTTTTCGATTTGTCGTTTCTTCAATTTTTGATTTCCAAGTTTTAGAGTTTTCAATTTTGAATATTTCAGTTTTTCGATTTTCCAAGTTTTGGATGTTTAAATTTTTAGATTTTGCAATTTTTCGATTTTTCACTTAATTTTTCATGTTTCAATTTTTCGGTTTTTTATTTTCTCTATGGTTAAAATTTTTCGGTTTTTTATATTCTTTTTTCATTGTGAAATTTTTCAATTTTTAGATTTATCAGTTTTCGACTTGCAATTTTTCGGTTTTCAATTTTTCGATTTTTCAACTTTTAGATTTTTAAATTTTTCGTTTCTTCAATTTTTCGATTTACAGTTTTTAGGTTTTTCGATGTTCCTAATTTATAACTTTTTGTTTTTTCAATTTTTCGTTCCTTTATTTTTTTAATTTGCAATTTTTTCATCTTCTTGCTTCTACAATTTTATCGTATGCAACTCTCGAGTTTTCAGATTTAAATTTTTCCGTTTTCAGTTTCCAACTGTTGGATTTTTCAATTTTTAGATTTACAATTTCACGAGTTTTAAATTTTTAATTTCTCAATTTTTCACTTAATTTTTCATGTTTAAATTTTTCGGTTTGCAGTTTTTCGTTTCGTTTTGTTATTTTCATTGTTTTTAAAATTTTGTTTTTTTTAGTGTCCTGATTTTATGATGTTTTTCCTTTTCATTGCGAAATTATTCAACTTTTTAGATTTGTCCCTTTTTGAATTTGCAATTTTTCGGTTTCAATTTTTCGATTTTCCAACTTTTAGATTTTTTAATTTTTCATTTTTTCAGCTTCAGATTTTCAGGTTCCCGATTTTTCAATTTTTCTTTTCTTCGATTTTTGATTTGCAACGTTTCGAGTTTTCAGTTTTTCGATTTTCCAACTTCTGGATGTTTCAATTTTTAGATTTTGCAATTTTTTGGTGTACAATTTCAATTAATTTTTCATGTTTCAATTTTGGTTTTTATTTTCTTAATTTTTTTAAATTTTTCGGTTTTTTAATGTCCTGATTTTTGATTTTTCTTTTTTTCATTGTGAAATTTTTCAATTTTTGTTTTAACCAATTTTTCGATTTTCAATTTTTCCATTTGTTAAATTTTAGATTTTTTAATTTTTCGTTTTTTCAGTTTCACATTTGCAGATTCTCGATTTTTCAATTTTTCGTTTCTTCAGTTTTTGATTTGCAACTTTTCTCGAGTTTTCAGTTTTGATTTTTAAGGTTTTCGCATTTCCAGCTTTTAGATTTTGCAATTTTTCGATTTACAGTTTCACGAGTTTTCAATTTTTGCCTTTTAACTTTTCGATTTTTCAATTAATTTTTCATTTGTTCAATTTTTCTTTTCGGTTTTTTATTTTCTCTATTTTTAAAATAAAATAAAATTTAATGTCCCCATTTTATGACTTTTCTTTTTTCAGTATGAAATCTTTTGGCTTTGTCAATTTTTCGGTTTTCAATTTTTTTTGGTTTTCAATTTTTCGGTTTTCCAACTTTTAGATTTTTTTAATTTTCGTTTTTTCAGTTTCAGATTTTCAGTTTCTCGATTTTTCAATTTTTCGTTTCTTCAATTTTTGGTTTTGCAACTTTTGAAGTTTTCAGTTTTTTGATTTTCCAACTTTTGGATGTTTCAATTTTCAGATTTTGCTATTTTTTAATTTACAGTTTCACGAGTTCTCTATTTTTATTTTTTTAATGTTTCGATTTTTCAGTTTATTTTACATGTTTCAATTTTTCAATTTACAGTTTTTGTTTTCTTTATTTTTAAAATTTTTCAGTTTTTTTAATTCCTTCATTTTGATGTTTCTTTTTTCATTGCGAAATTTTTAAACTTTTGGTTTTGTCAGTTTTTCGATTTGCAATTTTTTAATTTCCAATTTTTCGATTTTCCAACTTTTGGACTATGTTTTGCAATTTTTCGATTTGTGATTTTTCTTTTCGGGTTTTTTCCCTATTTTGGAATTTTTTAGATTTTATGATATTTCTTTTTTCATTGTGAAATTTTTCGATTTTTGGATTTGCAATTTTTCGGTTTTCAATTTTTCCATTTTTGAGCTTCTAGATTTTTAAAAATTTTTCGTTTGTTCAGTTTCTCGATTTTTCATCTTAAAGATGTAATAATAATTATAATTTATACAATCTCTAATTTTTTCAATTTTCTGGTTTTCCTTTTTTCAATTATTGGATTTCAAAACTTTAAATTTTTTTCATTCAAAAATGAAAATACGAAAATGCATAAAATGAAAACTTTTCCTTCTCTCCAATTTTTTATTAATTAATTTTTAAGTTTCTCGATTTTTAGTTTTTCAATGTTTCAATTTTTCTTTTCTACAGTTCCTCGGTTAACAATTTTTTCAGTCGCCACTCCTTCGATTTTGCAATTTTTCGTTTTTTTTGCTTCAGTTTTTCCGAACTTTTAACGTGAAAAAATTGCAAACATTGTTAAATTGAAAAATCAAAAATCAACAACGAAAAAGTATCAAATGAAAAGTTTGAAAATTGTAAAAATTGGAAATCAAGAACTTGAAAAATTGACGAAACAAAAAATTCAAAAATCGAAACATTAAAATTGAGTGCAAGGTCGAAAAAACGAAATATACATTGTAAAATCGATATATTGAAAACTAAAGAAACCGGAAAATCGTATCGCTGGAAATCAAAAATTACAAAATTGAAAAATTTATCTATGAAAACTGAGAAAATGAAAATTAAAAAATCGGCGAAATCAAAAACTTGAAAAATTGTGGAAACGAAACATTGAAAAATCGAAAAATTAAAAATTGCGAAAGCGAAAAATTGAAGAACGAAAAATTGAAAAACTTGGAAGTCGAGAAATTGAAAAAATGAAAGGTAAAAAAACGAAAAAATATGAAACCGAAACAATGAAAAAATGTAAAAATTGAAAACTTCGAAAATTCTAAAAATTGGAAATCAAGAACTCGAAAAATCGAAGAAAAAAACTTCAAAAATTAAAAAACTAAAAAATTGAAAAAGTGCCAAATCGAACAGCGAAATATGTATTGTAAAATCTAAATATTGAAAACTAAAGAAATCGGAAAATTTAAAAATTGGAAAAGCGAGGACTTGAAAAATCTGATAGAAATTAAGAACTTGGAAAATTGAGAAAATCGAAAAATTGAAGAAACAAAAAACTGAAAAATTTGTAAGTCGAGAAATTAAAAATTGTGATTTCAAAAAATTGTAAAATCGAAAAGAAAAACAAATCGTAAAAAGATAAAGTAAGATTTCCACCTGCATAATTTTGATTCAGATAAAGATCTAGCCTTAGAAAGACTGATAACAATAAGTGAAACGAACTTGTGAAAATGAAAACAGATTTCCCTACGACCTCATAAATGTAGACTTCAGCTTCACACTGCCAATTAGGTATAATTCTAGAAATCTGAAGGTAACCCAGATCCAAACAATGCCACCCAGCCCCATTTCCACGTGTACTACGCAGATTTTCAGCCTCTAATCATGGCACTGTTTACTCTAAAAACCCACAATTAAACACCTAACCTAAACACTCGCTTACAAATTGTATCGTTTAAATCTGGCAGATGACATAACTCTTTAAACTTTATTGGCACCCGAACAAAACATTGGAGCCATGCGTCACTCAGGTATTTAGCAATTTGTTTCGGCATCTCAACTCCAATTACATGGAACGTATGCGTAAATTTAGCTGGCACCGACCCGTCGTCGTTGTCGCGATGACAGCAAAAATACCACCACGACGTTTCTTCGCCCATCTTCAGCCACCTTACTCTGACTTGTGTGTTTTCAGGTGCTCGCCAAAGTAGAAATCTAGAAAAGCTATCTCCGTATAATATAGTAAGTCCTCGTTTGTGTGCCTGTGTAACAGCGTCCTCTGCCCGTCTAACCCACTTTGCATGCGTGTGAAGCTTGGAAATTGGAAATTATAGAGCCTTGAGATGTTGGGGATGACGCGTCGACAATAGTGAGGACGGTTCGTCGCGGTTCATTTACTTATTTACCTTGTTCCAGTTTCGCCAGGACTAACAAAACTTTAATTATGGCGTAACATGACATCCAGAAACGAGATTATGGCAATTGCGGCGCGGAAATGTGGCCCATCCACACAATTATTATGTCGTAAGGGAGTTCCGAGATATAACCGGATTATGCCCGGAGGAAGTTCATCGCGATAATGTGCTTCTTGCGCGAGAAAAACCGACGCGATTAGATAGACCGGAAGCGACATTCGAAGGTAAATTTGATAGTGCATTTCCGCTGCGTTCTAATCCGGCGAAGAAAATGAGAGCCCGGAACTGTGAATGTCGGCTAAGGCTCTAGTTATGTACATTCGCTCATTAAGGCTGGTTCCGTCCTGTCTTAAATACACGGGGAGCATAATCGCTGTTTCAGGAGTCGAATTTTATAAAATAAGATATTCCTGTACTTGTGATGTATGAATCCGTTTTGAGTTTTCACCCTAGACATTTACATTTTTGGAAAAAAAAAATCAAAATTGTGTGACAACATTTGACTTTGAAGCTGCAAAACCGAATGCTCTGAAATCTGCAAACGTTTAAGGTTATCGTAATCGTAGGTCAATCAAAATTTATTCGTTTATACCCTTCCAAAACTTGATGACGTCATCCCAAAATTTTGTCTAATAAAATCTGTCTGAAATATGTAAAATATTTTAACTCTGTATTTGTGGTTTATCGATGCACTCATAGTTTTTAGAATTACTTATACAATGTGACTCAAAAAAATTAATGAATGCTGATAATTTTTCGAAAAATCTGGATTTATTTTCCTTTTTTCTTTTTCTTCGATTTTACATTTTTTTTGCCACACTTTTTGTTTTTAATTTTTTTTAATTTTTCAATTTTTCCATTTTTCTTTGTTTGAGTTTCATAATTTTTCGTTTTTTCAACTTTTATTTTTTCAGTTTTTCAATTCGAAATTTTTCAGTTTTTCGTTGCTTCAATTTTTCAACTTGCAATTGTTCAATTTTGCAATTTTTCGTTTTTCGATTTTTCAGTTTCTCAATTTTTAATTTTTCGATTTTACAATTTCTTGATCCTCAATTTTTCAAGTTTTTGATTTTTATTTTTCTTTTTCCCGGTTTTTTGTTTTCATTTTTTCGATTTTGTATCACAATTTTTCGTTTATTGAACTTTTCAATTTTTGGATTTCTCAATTTTCCGTTTTTCTTTCGATGTTTATAGTTCTCAACTTTAAATTTTTCGATTTCTCGACGTCCAACTTTTTCAAATTTTCGTTTCCTCAATTTTTCCATTTGCAATTGTTCAATTTTGCAATTTTTCGATACTTATTACAATTTTTCATCTTTCGATGTTTCAGTTTCTTAACTTTTAATTTTTCGATTATTGAATTTTTCAAGTTCTTGAATTTTATTTTTCATTTTTACATTTTTTTTTATTGTCATCTTCTCTATTTTATATTACAGTTTTTAATTTTTCATTTCCTTTATTTTTTCAATGTTTCTTTTGATTTTATAATTTTTCGTTTATTCAATTTTTCAAAATTTCAATCTTTTTCAATTTTTAGATTTCTCATTCATACCATTTTTAAATTTCTAAATTTTCCGATATTTTTTCGATGTTTAAGTTTCTCAACTATTAATTTTGCAGTTTTTCAATTTCTCGACTACCAATTTTTTTAATTTTTCGTTTCTTTGATTTTTCGACTTGCAGTTGTTCAATTTTGTAATTTTTCGATATTAAAATTTTTGGTTTTTCGATTTTTCAGTTTCTCAATTTTTAATTTTTTCGATTTTACAATTTTTCAAGTTTTTGATTTTTATTTTTCATTTTCCCGGTTTTTTGTTTTCATTTTTTCAATTTTATATCGCAATTTTTCGTTTATTTAACTTTCCAAATTTTCAGTCTTTGGTCTTTCAATTTCTCGATTTTTCAATTTTTCAATTTTGCAATTTTTGGATTTCTCAATTTTGCGATTTTTTCGATGTTTAAGTTTTTCAACTTTTAATTTTGCAGTTTTTCAATTTCTCGACTACCAAATTTTTTAATGTTTCGTTTCTTTGATTTTTCGACTTGCAGTTATTCAATTTTGCAATTTTTCGATATTAAAATTTTTCGTTTTCGATTTTTCAGTTTCTCAATTTTCAATTTTTCGATTTTAAAATTTTTCGTTTCCTCAATTTTTCCAGTTTTAGATTTTTATTTTTCATTTTCCCGGTTTTTTGTTTTCACTTTTTCAATTTTATATCGCAATTTTTCGTTTATTTAACTTTTCAAATTTTCAGTCTTTGGTCTTTCAATTTCTCGATTTTTCAATTTTTCAATTTTGCAATTTTTGGATTTCTCAATTTTGCGATTTTTTCGATGTTTAAGTTTCTCAACTTTTAATTTTGCAGTTTTTCAATTTCTCGACTACCAAATTTTTTAATTTTTCGTTTCTTTGATTTTTCGACTTGCAGTTGTACAATTTTGCAATTTTTCGATATTAAAATTTTTCGTTTTTCGATTTTTCAGTTTCTCAATTTTTAATTTTTCGATTTTACAATTTCTCGATCCTCAATTTTTCAAGTTTTTGATTTTTATTTTTCTTTTTCCCGGTTTTTTGTTTTCATTTTTTCGATTTTGTGTCACAATTTTTCGTTTATTGAATTTTTCAAATTTTCAGTTTTTGGTCTATCAATTTTTCGATTTTTCAATTTTGCAATTTTTGGATTTCTCAATTTTTCGTTTTTCTTTCGATGTTTATGTTTCTCAACTTTTAATTTTTCAATTTCTCGACGTCCAAATTTTTCAAATTTTCGTTTCCTCAATTTTTCCATTTGCAATTGTTCAATTTTGCAATTTTTCGATACTTATTACAATTTTTCATTTTTCGATGTTTCAGTTTCTCAGATTTTAATTTTACGATTATTATTGAATTTTTCGGTTCCTCACTTTTTCAAGTTCTTGATTTTATTATTTTTCATTTTTACATTTTTTTTTTATTGTCATCTTCTCTATTTTATATCACAGTTTTTAATTTTTCATTTCCTTTATTTTTTCAATATTTCTTTAGATTTTATAATTTTTCGTTTGTTCAATTTTTCAAATTTTCAATCTTTTTCAATTTTTAGATTTCTCATTCATACCATTTTTAAATTTCCAAATTTTCCGATTTTTTTTCGATGTTTAAGTTTCTCAACTTTTAATTTTGCAGTTTTTCAATTTCTCGACTACTAATTTTTTTAATTTTTCGTTTCTTTGATTTTTCGACTTGCAGTTGTTCAATTTTGTAATTTTTCGATATTAAAATTTTTGGTTTTTCGATTTTTCCGTTTCTCAATTTTTAATTTTTCGATTTTACAATTTTTCGATCCTCAATTTTTCAAGTTTTTGATTTTTATTTCTCATTTTCCCGGTTTTTTGTTTTCATTTTTTCAATTTTTTATCGCAATTTTTCGTTTATTTAACTTTTCAAATTTTCAGTCTTTGGTCTTTCAATTTCTCGATTTTTCAATTTTTCAATTTTGCAATTTTTGGATTTCCCAATTTTGCGATTTTTTCGATGTTTAAGTTTCTCAACTTTTAATTTTTCAATTTCTCGATTTCCAAATTTTTCAAATTTTCATTTCTTGCAATTTTTCGATTATTGAATTTTTCGGTTACTCATTTTTTCAAGTTCTTGATTTTTATTTTTCATTTTCACAGTCTTTAATTTTTCTTTTCCTATATTTTTTCAATGTTTCTTTGGATTTTATAATTTTTCCTTTATTCATTTTTTCAAATTTTTAGTCTTTGATTTTTCAATTTTACAATTTTTTAATTTCACAATTTTCCGAATTTTTTTTGAATGTTTAAGTTTCTCAACTTTTAATTTTTCAATTTTTTGATACTTATTTCAGTTTTTCATTTTTCGATTTTTCAGTTTCTCAATTTTTAATTTTTCGATTATTCAATTTTACGGTTCTTCATTTTTTCAAGTTGTTGATTTTTTTTCATTTTCACAAATTTTTTATTGTAATTTTCTCTATTTCTCTATTTTATATCACAGTTTTTAATTTTTCGTTTCCTCAAATTTTTCAATGTTTCATTCGATTTTATAATTTATCGTTTATTCAATTTTTTAATTGTCAATCTTTTTCCAATTTTGTTGTTTTTATATTTCTCAATTATCCTATTTTCAAGTTTCTCAATTTTTAATCTTTCCATTTTTCCATTTTGGGTTTCTTTAATTCTCCAAGTTCTTGATTTCCAATTTTTGGATTTTTCAAAGTATTCATTTTATACTTTTTCGTTTTTTATTTTTACGTTTTTTGCAGTTTTTCCACTTTTTTTTATTCGAAAAGTTAAAAAATCGGAAAACTTAAAAATTGGAAATTGTAGAAATGATAAATTCAAAACTCAAGAAATTACATATCGAAAAATTGAAAATTCTCAAAATTGAAAGATCCCAATGGAAAATCGAAAAACTGAAGAATTTAAAAATGCAAATTTGAAGAAACAAAAAAAATGAAAAATTGGGACATTGAAAAATTGTAAAAATAAAGAAAATAAAAAGTCGAAAGGAAAATTACAAATCGAAAATTTGAAGAGATGAAAAATCGAGAAATTGAAAAATTAAAATTTCAAAAATTAAAAATCGATTGAACGAAAAAATTTTAAAAGCCCAACATTGAGAAATGGAAAAATTCTAAAATCGAAAAATTGTAAAAGTGAGGAATTTTAAAAATTATAATTATTATTACATATTTAAAATGGACACTGGAAATTGCAAATATGTTAGAAAATCGAAAAATTGAAGAAATGAAAAACCGAAAAATTGAAGAAATGAAATATTGATAAATTGAAACATCCGACAGTTGGAAAATCGAAAAACTG